CCTGATCTCTTCCGGGAGCTCATTCCACCAAGTAGAGGCCAAGGCTGAAAAGGCCCTGGCCCTAATCGAGGCAAGATGGATGTCCCTGAGGCCAGGGACCACCAGAAGATGTTGACTGGCAGATCGTAAAGCCCTTCAGGGCTCATAGAGGGAGAGGCGGTCTCGCATATATGCGGGCCCCTGGCCATATATGGCTTTAAAGGTAAGCACCAACACCTTGAAGCAGATCCGGTACTCAACAGGCATTTAGTGTAGTTCGCACAGCACTGAGCAGATGTGGGCCTGCACAGGTAGCAACATCAGTACCCGTGCTGCTGCATTCTGCACCAGCTGCAGTTTCCAGAGCAGAGTCAAGGGCACATAGAGAGTATTACAATAATATCTATATCTATATATCTATATCTATATCTATCTATCTATATCTATCTATCGATCGATCGATAGATAGATAGATAGATAGATAGATAGATGATAGATAGATAGATAGATAGATAGATAGATAGATAGATAGATAGATAGATAGATAGAGATATAGATATAGATATAGATATAGATATTAACTTGCCCAAATGGGTAAAGGTTTTTTTTAAGGATTACACAAAACAGCAACAAAGAAAAGAGCAATACATTTTTAAAATACCTAGACATTGTCTCGCTCACAGTATTACAGTAATCTAAACTGGAAGTGACCATTGCATGGGCCACTGTAGCCAGATCCCAGGGAGTGAGATATGGGGCCAACTGCCTGATCTGTTGTATATACCAGTTGTAGAAATAACATAGACTAACAGTGCAAGTCTGAACATAGTTCCACCCTTCTAAGTCCATTAAAGGCAATGATCTTAGAAAGGTATAACTATGAATGGGATGGCACTGTAAGAAAGCAATCCTAAAAAGGTCTGCTCAGAAGCCTACTGAGATCTATAAAACAGGGCTTATTTCCAGGAAGGTATTCTTAGGACTGCACTGTAAACATGTATTCTGAGAAAGTTACCAATTCTATTCTTTGATCTAAACAGAGTATCCAGAGCGCTCTGGGCTACCCATCCCAGGATACAAATGTGGGAAAAACCAATGGAAAATTGCCATAACAGTAAATTATTGGTGGTGTTTAATCTGGTACATTTTGGCCCTGGGTTGGCCCAGTTACAACCTCCATCTTTTAACAAAATGGATTTCAGACCCTGTCTCTGTGTAGCTTGCCATCAGATATTGTGACCAAAGCTGAGACTGAAATGATACAGCACCAAGTGATTGCTGTGCATTCCGTAATGAACGTATAACTGCGAGTAGCTGTAAACTCTGGGAAAACATCTCTAAGTATTGATAGAAAGCATTCATTTGGAAGGGGCAACTTGCCTAATGCTTGTCCAAATGAATTTTCACAGCGGAAGACCCCCTCTGATGAGAGGACCTCATGATGTTTGGCCTTACTGACAGTGTAAGAATATTGCTCTGCTTAAACTAGTTTGATGTGAATTGTGGATATTTACCCCTGCATAATAACATGAAGGCTTCTATATATTGAGCACTAGATGAAGCTGTATGGTACAACTGAAGAAGCATCAATGAAACGAAGATTGGAATCCGGAGTCTTCGTCCTATGTCCTGTGTGCCGGCTTCTTTTGTACACTCTGTGTTGTTGTATGTCATATGTATACACTATATTGTATCTGTTTGTACACATTTGTGTTATATAAATATTCTTTGCTCCTTTGCACTTCAGCATAGTGCCTCTGATTTCGTTATTTATACAGTGCTTTTTTTGGTTATTACCCAAGTAGGGTTGCCAGCCTCCAGGTGGGGCCTGGGGATCTCCCACTTTTACAACTGATCTCCAGCTGACAGAGATCAGCTCCCCAGGAGAAAATGGCTGCTTTGAAGGGTGGACTCCATGGCACTGTACCATGCTGAGGCCCCTCTCTCCCCAAAGACCGTTCTCTCCCGGATCCACCCCCAAAGTCTCCAGGTATTTTCCAACCCAGACCTGGCAACCCTATACCCAAGGAGCTGGGGGCCTCACAGATTGTGGAAGATGACACCAAGGAGCAACTCTGTTTACAGCCGCAGTCAGCCTGTCCTTTAGACACAGCTACAAGGGCCTCCACAGAATTATTGGAGAGGCTCTCAAAATCCTCCAGAGCTGCCTGGAAATTAGCAGGATCCATTAACCTCTGAGGGCAGATCGTCTGAATCAGTCCACCTCCCCTGTAGGGAGGAGACAGCAACTGCGTCTTCAGAAGATAGTGATCTGACCATGATGAGGGCCAAACCTCCAGCCCTCTAATCAGATCACCAGCAAGCTACTCAGAGCAGAAAATAAGGTCTAGAGTATATTCTTTTAAGGCCCCGGTCACATGGCAAAGTTGCCGCGGGGGAGGCACGGATGGTGGACGGATTATCCGGGCGCGATCACACCCCAACATCTGGGAAGTGGAGCACACCTGTGGCTTACCGCCAACAATGCACCTTAAAAAACTAGTACCTCCAAGGTACTAGTAAACGTTTGCCACGGGCTGCCTCCAGACGCCCGTGGTGTGATCGCGCCAGCGCGCGGCATTCCCCTCCGGTCCCTCGTTTACCTGCCGGCGCCGAGGGAAGGACCCGTGGTGTGCTGCCGGCGTGTCTGATCGCGTAATCGCGCATCAAACTGTGCTGGGGCAATTATATCCTGCCTGTGTGACCGGGCCCTAAATGTGTTGGGCCCATTACAATCTGAAACAGACCCATGGTTGTTATGGCAGCAATGAAGGCCTGTCCCTGACCTGACAAGGCCACCTTGGCATGTATGTTGAAATCCCCAAGGACAATCATCCTCAGGCTTCTCAGCACCAAGTCCAACACCAGCTCCATCACCTGTGAACTTAGGCAGATCATGAGAAGGAGGGCAGGAAGGGTTGCCTCAGTGCTTAGTTCTTGTGGCCCTTTCTTACATGCCCAGGGAAATGCTGATTGTCACTTTGGGGTCAGGAAGCAATTTTTCTCCAGGCCAGTTTGGCTGGAGATCCTGGAGGTTTTTTGTCATCTTCTGAGCATGGAACAGCAGTCAGGATGTGGGGGAGAGGTATTTGTGAATTTCCTGCATTGTGCAAGGGGTTGGACTAGATGACCCAGGTGGAGGTACCTTCCAACTCTATGATTCTACGACCATAGCCAGAGATTCTGCAGGTAACCTAGGCGGACGTTACACCAGTGGGATCCCTAATCTATCCCTGGTGCCCAATACAAGGTATATACAATCAGAGCCAATCCCTGTCTGCACCAGGTACCTAATGATGGGGAAATAATCATGGAAATGCCAGCCTCCCCCATCCTCCTGTTCAAGGTTGGTGAAGGACATGATACCCAGGCGGTGTGAGCTGTGTCAGAGTCACCACATATGAGTCATCCAGTTGAGCAATGTATACAGGGCACAGCTTTTCTTGGCACAGAATTTGTATTACAGATTCTGCTTCTCTTGGCAAAGAATTGTGATTCTGCTTTCTTGCAAATTATGCAAAGCTTGATCGAAACCTACCGGTATGCACTGCAATGTGTCCTGTTCAGCTAGTGAAGAACGTCTCAGGGTCTTTTCTTCTCATTTTTATAGTCTGAATGCCTTTCTCTGCATCTGCTTTTAAGATGGGTTTATAGGGCAGAAGATAGGGCCAAACAGCTGTAACATTTATCAGTTTATCTATCCACTCCCTTCTTTCCAAACATTACTATCCCACACCAGGACTTTTCATGGTACCTTGGATGTCAGCAGCCTCTTTTTGAGAAATAATAAGCAACACAAATAATTTGCAGGGTCATCCTATGACAGATGCATCAGCAATTAAAAGGTTCATCTGTGATGGAAATCACTGGGGGGGGAGACATGCCCTTCTCAATCTGACCCCCCACATTCATTCTGTTGCTGTTACCAGATTACCCAGCAGTATTTGAATTCCTCCACACCAAAGGACACAAATAGATCAATACTTCATTATAGAGCAAAGTCCCTACATGCTGAGTCCTGGTAAGTCTTCCCTGCACAAAGCATTGTAGTAGGGCACTGGCAAAGAGCATGACCTAGCAAGTCTCTGGTTTAAATTTCATTTTAGCATAAACTCATTGGGTGGTGTTACACAAGATACTGTCTCTGAACCCAAATCCACTGTGGAGAATTAATGATATATGTTAAGACATGTGAATGTGCAGAGGAAGTGCTATATAAATGTTTACATTAAATAAACCTAAACAATGAAAATCAAGGATTTTGTTAATAAAAAGGAAGCCACATCCATAACTGCAATTTGGTAATCTATTATTGCAATTCATGGAGGCCAGTATGTTTTAATATATAAAGGTGATGGAAAGTGCTGTTGAGTCACAGATGACTTATGGCAACCCTGTAGGGTTTTCAAGGCAAGAGACATTCAGAGTTGGTTTGCCATTGCCTGCCTCTGTGTCACTACCCTGATATTCCTTGGAGGTCTCCCATCCAAATACCAGCCAAGGCCAACCCTGCTTAGCTTCCGAGATCTAATGAGATTGGTCTAGCCTGGGCTATCCAGGTCACGGCAGTACATAAATAGGTTTTTAAAATACAGAAAATGTGGACGTAGTAAATGCTGGTTTGCAAAGGCATTTGGATGAGGGCTTTCAGGGAATTCTTTATTTGATTGATGCCTCATGAAAAGCACTCTCAGTATCCAGTGAGCCACCTGAACTGCAGCACATCATAGATATTAAGGTAAGAGGATACCTTTCTCCTCAGAATGAGCAGCATGCATTTCCCAAGCAGTTGTGAATAAACTGTAAAGATTAAAAAGGGAAAGGAAAAATGTTCAAATAATCAGCCAGATATTTTCAGCAATCGTTTTTGCCCTTCCAGTTGAAGCAGCCCAGTGTTTCCAGGAAGGGCTGCTGGAGCACACGAGAATGGAATGTCTCGAGCCTACCATGGAATGCACAGGTTAGATCAAGAACATAGGCACTGTCACTCCACGTGATGATGATCAAGAGTGAAATCTCACCTCTTGGTTCAGCTTGGGCTTGCAGCCCAAGTTTTTGTTGGTGAGCTGCACGGGTGCGATCCAGCTTGTCATGTCTAATAATTTCCTCCTCTGAAGTCTGAGATGCTGAAAGATCTGTGCTGCTGATGTTAAAAGCTGGATTTGCAATGCCTTCTGTTGCAGCTCTCTCTTCCTTGCCTATTTGGGGGGGGGAGGGGAGGCAACAAGGTCAGAGGAGCACGGAGACAGTGACAAGCAGAAAATTCCTTCTAATAATTCCTTTGCTGAAAGACTCGAATGTTATCAGCAATGAACGGCACCAAAACAGAATTAGGTTAAAATTAACTCTTTATTTTAAAAGGGGGGAATAAATGATTAAAATAATTACAAATTGCACCCTGACAAGCAAGAGCAAAATTTTGCCCACAGCCATTTGTCTGTAATTAGTTAATTAATCCTTACACAAATTATGAGCAATAACTCATCAAGCAAGGCTCACCCATCAGAAATTCAGCCGACTTGGATTTCTTCTGCTTAGTTTGTTTCTGAGCCTTCTGCTGGAACTTCTGGAGGGAAATTGTTAAATGAATAAATTAGCTTAAGAATGAAGATCACCCTTTACGATCAACAACTAACACAGTATTTTAAATATGGGATGGCATTGAAATGTCATTTAATTTACATCTCCACTAAAGGGGTCAAACACTAATTGAACAACAGAAGTGGAAGAATTAAATAAAAACAGGAGGAGAAAAGTTAAGAAAAATGCCAAATGAAGGTCACATTAAAATACTTCTTTTTTTAAAAAAAACCCCAATTATAATTAATGCGAAAGAACCTTTGCCAACAGAACAGCAATGGAAAATTTGCCCTTGGATTCAGCATTTAGTGGGAACAGTCTGTTAACTGGATGTGCATATAGAAAATTTATAGACTCAAAGTGTATTTATTTATAATGATAAATGTGCTTTTTACTTCCTCGGATTTCTTCAGGGCCCAGTTATATCAGAAAACATTGTTGGTAATACCAAAGAAGCTGGTAATCCGTGTGCTTGCTGCGGTCATGCAAATTAGCAAAAGAAAAAGAAAACACAGTTGGACATTTTGTTCAAAACCATGAAAAGCAAGATGCCAACGAACAGTCTCATACCCAGCAGAGTGCAACAGGGTATCAGACCCTACTAACTTGTGAAAGTTCAAACTACATACAATGGTGATAGACCTATTTGCCTAAACCTGGGGCTGTCCAAACCATATAAAGTGTTTATGGGGGAGCTGCATTTTTGGAGAAAATGGGCCAGGCAATTGGAAGATGCTAATCCTTCCCTACTCCTTCTATCTGCATCTTAGAGTTTTAGTTTAGGTGACCTCTGCTACCAAGAGTTAGTCTGTCTGGAAGAAAAGTTATGGGGAGATAACTGGCCAGCATGAAGAGGGTCAGTGAGAGCCAGTTTGGTGTAGTGGTTAAGTCTGCAGACTCTAATCTGGGAGAACTGGGCTTCATTTCCCACTCCTCCATTTGCAGCTGCTGGATGACCTTGGGCAAGTCATAGTCCTGTTAGAGCTGTTCTCTCAAGGGCAGTTCTCTCAGAGCTCTCTCAGCCCCGACTACCTCACAGGGTGTCGGTTGTGGGGAGGGGAAGGGGAAGGGGAAGGAGATTGTAAGCTGCTCTGAAACTCCGAGTGAAGGGCAGGGTATAAATCCAATCTCTTCTCTTCTTCTTCTTCCTTACTTGTGAACCTACTTTTGTCTAAAAATCAGACATCAACTCTACTTAACATATAATTATGGTAAGTTTAGGTTACGATAAATGGATCCAATGCCACCACATTTCACTTTAAAAGTTAACATCACTTTAGACCAGGGTGTTCTCAATGTTTTTGAGCTCACAGGGACCTTTGGAATTGCCACAAAACAACTGTCATGGGAAACAGAGCTATCCACAAAATGGTTGTCGTGGCTTATCTGTGGTCACACAGTGAAGATCCTTGTGCTGTGGTGGCAGCTGCTGCTAAAGCAACATGTCTTTAAAAATGTACAGCCAATCAAATATCCAGTGGCCAATCAGAAGCCCTGCTGGGTAGAAGAAGAAGAGGAGGAGGAGGAAGAAGAAGAAGAAGAGGAGGAGATTGGATTTATACCCCGCCCTTCATTTGGAGTCTCAGAGTGGCTTACAAACTCCTTTCCCTTCCCCTCCCCACAACAGACACCCTGTGAGGTGGGTGGGGCTGAGAGAATTCTGACACAAACTGCCCTTTTTCAATGACAGCTGTGCCAGAGCTTGTGACTGACCCAAGGTCACATCAGCAGGTGCAAATGGAGGAGTGAGGAATCAAACCTGGTTCTCCCAGATTAGAGTCCACGCACTTAACTACTACACCAAACTGGCCCCAACTGACCCCGCCCACTTTCTAAAAACACTTGACAGGCTGCAGAAAAGTGCACCATGGCACCTGGGGGCACCAGATATGGGACTCCTGGTTTAGATCAAGGAACTATTCCAAAGTAGATTCTGCCTTGTTCTAAGTAAAAGATTCAAGACCTGTGTGGCATATCTAAAATGTGCCACTCTTACCAAGAAACACACCAACAGTGAAATCCTAAACAGAGTTACACCATTTTAAGCCCACTGACTTGGGATGGATTTAGAAGGAGGCCACTCTGTTTAGGATGAACTTCAAGTTAGACTGATAGCTAATGGCGAGATAGTTGCATTAACAAACCACAATAGAAAATGGTCTTGATTAATGTAGCATGGTGATTAAGAGGTTTGGCTCAGGAAGTCTATAACTGACATCTCCCCTGGGTCACCTCTGCCATGAACTCACTAGGCGACACTATTCTCTCACCCTAGTTTATTTATTTTTATTGGATTTTTTTTACTCGCTGCTCACTCAAAGAGTGAGCATTAAACTATTAAAACATTAAACACTAAAACTAATAAAGTAAACAACATAAAAGCAAATAACAAATATAAAACATTAACGTTAAACTATTAAAATACGTGGCTATCACCATACCACTAAAAAAAAACCCCAAACGTTAAAGGTTACTCTCCAAAGGCCAACCTAAACAATTCAGCCTTGCATGCCCTGCAGAAATTAAGCAAGTCTGGCAGGGGATGGGTGTTATCTGAGAGTGCATTCCACAAGGTAGGGACCACAACTGAGAAGGTCCTTTCTTGGTGACATGTAACTGAGCCATCCTGGGCCACTAGAAGATGACTGAAGGGAGCTCAAGAGGTTGTAATGGGAGTGGTGGTCCCACAGGTATAAAGGTCTCAGACCATTAGGGGCTTTAAAATTTAGCACCAACACCTTGAATTGGATCCGAAGACTAATTGGTAGCCAGTGCAGCTGCCACAAACTTGGAGTAATACATGCTGAACATAATGTTCCAGTCAGCAACCTGGCGGCTGCATTCTGGACCACCTGCAGTCTTCAAAGTGTTTTCAAGGGTAGCCCTACGTAGAGTGAATTCCAGTAGTCCAGTTTGGAGGGGCCCATTGCATGGATGAATGTGGCAGGGTCTGACCCAAACAAATAAGGAGCCAGCTGGCAGGCCTGGTTTGGTTTAAAAACGCCGACCGTGCTACCATGAACACTTGTTTATCCAATGATAGCACAGAATGCAACAACGCTGACATAGAACACTTCCCTCCCTCAGAGGCAGAATATTTTTTCTCCATTTTACTCTCACTTTCTGACTGAACAGCCCTTTTTATCTATGTTCTTCTTTTCTGAAGAACTAAGGCTATCACACTGTAGTGTATTCAAAGCTGCCTTGAATGCATGATATGTTGTGAAACATCTAATTGAAGTGTAATGTAAAGCTTCGTCCTGGGCTAGGATCCAAATCCATCCAATCGTGTTACTAGCCCAGGAAGCACCTAACCAATCACTTTCAAGCAAGCTCCCTGAGCGGGAACATCCGTGATTGGTCCTTATGTGAACAACCTTATTGGTCTTGCTGAATCACTCTCTGACTTCTTTGTTAACCGAGCGACTTATCACACAGTATGAAATTTTGCTGCTGGCTCAGCCCAGGAACTTGAAAGAAAGGGACAAGGTCTCTCTCTTTAACTTAAACTACTGAAATGGCACTCAAGAGGCCCTTTAAAGTTCAAAAATAGCAAAATATTTTATTCAACATAGAGAGGGAAAAGACAGGTGAAATCAGGGTTAAAATTTCTGAGGTAAATCAATGAAGAACTCTGAGGTAAATCAGTACAGGCACAGACTACAGTTCATATGTTTCAAGCAATTGAGAGTTTCTTAAGCTTTTTGCAGTGACATAGAATCTTTAAAATGGGAAGCTTTTGTTTCAGTGTTTCCCAAACACCCCAGTATACTTTCTTGAGCTTAACTGTCTCTTTTGGTTTCTAGAAGGCAGAGATACTCTATTCATTACCCAAACTCTTTCACTAAACACACCAGTACTCTTCTTGAGTCTTAACTGACTCCTCAGATTTAAAAGGCAGTTTCTAAACAGCCATGAAATTAAAAGTTGCCTGCTTCTTGGGAGGAAAACTATGACAAACATAGACAGCATAATAAAAAGTAGAGACATCACCCTGCCAACAAAAGTCTGTATGGTCAAAGCAATGGTATTCCCAGTAGTAATGTATGGCTGCGAGAGTTGGACCATAAGGAAAGCTGAGTGCCGAAGAATAGATGTGTTTGAATTATGGTGCTGGAGAAGACTCTTGAGAGTCCCTTGGACTGGAAAGAGATCAAATCAGTCAATCCTAAAAGAAATCAACCCTGATTGTTCCCTGGAAGGCCAGATACTGAAGCTGAAGCTCAAATACTTTGGCCACCATATGAGAAGGGAGCACTCACTGGAGAAGACCCTGATGCTGGGAAAGACTGAAGGTCAAAGACGACGGGGACGGCAAAGGATGAGATAGTTAGATAGTGTTATCGATGCAACAAACATGAAATTAAGCATACTCCGGAGGACAGCAGAAGACAGGAGGGCCTGGCATGACGTGGTCCATGGGGTTGCGAAGAGTCGGACTCGACTGTGTGACTGAACAACAACCCAAAAAAAAAAAACAACACCAGACCAGGGATCTCTCCACTCTTCAGTGCTATCTCCCTGTTCTAACTGGGTAGTGAAATTCTTCTCTCACTATTCCCTTTTCTGGCCTGAATGGAAGTCTTCACCTAACTAGCCACTTTTCTACCAGCTTTCCCAGTATTCCATCTGTGTTAGGGCTAAACACAAACCCTGTCAACAGTAAACCTTTCTCTGTCAGGGCTAGACTCAGAGTTGTCAGTACTAGACTCTTCTCAGTCAGGACTGAATTCAAACTCCCCTCTCCTCAGCATCCAGCTCTCAAGACTCTGTCTGCACAACTGCAGGGGAGGGCGGGCTGTAAGCCAAATATAATAAATAAACTGGTGCTAGCCAATCAAATTCCTTGGAGCAGCCTGTCAATCAAGGCTTTCTGGCTCTGTGAGGAATTAACCCTTCACAGTCCTTTGCATATTTACACAACACTACTGAGCTTTCAAAGTGCAATCCATCACAGCAACCACGCCCTGAGGCTCTTTACAGAGT